CCCAATTCCTACTGCACGAACAACACCTTTCCCGAATCCCTCTCTTCCACCAAGACGGCCGCCTCTCTTGTCGGCGTCAATGCGCCCAGCGTCACCAATCTCTCATCTGCATTGCCTCCGGCCGAATCACAGGTCACAATCGGTCTTCCGGGACTCGAGCCTGCGACCACCAGCACAGCCGCCACTGCAGCAGCTGCTGCCGCGGCAGCTGCTGCCGCCGCGGCTGCGGCTGCAATGGCGGCTCACTACTTCTTTCTTCCTCCGCCTCCGGTAGCCCTCGGTCGCTCACGTCCACCATCCACAAGCTGTCTCGACAATGCCGGGCCCTACTCTAACCTAGAGTTGGCCCGGTCGGAACCCAGTTGCCCTGGAGACGACACTAGTCTTCGTTCTGCTTACGGACCTCCTCCGGCCAATTACCTCGGCACCGCCATGAGTGCTGCCAGCAACACGATGACTTGTCCCGACTCGGTAGCTCCTGGGTCTGTTCCAGCTTCTTCCTCACTCTCGCCTACCTCGTTTGCCTCTTCCTCTTCCTCTTCGTCCTCGTCCTCCTCCTCGTCCTCCTGTTCTTCCTGTTCTTCCTCCTCCTCTTCCTCTTCCTCCTCCTCTTCTTCCTCCTCCTCCTCATCTGCTTTCTCATTTTCATCTTGTTCCACTTCGTCTGCCTCCCTATCGCCACTCTCCTGCCCCTCAAACTCGGCTACAAAGCCGGCCTCCAGCATTCTAACGGAGCTGGTGTGCCTTCACGAGTCAGCTTCAGCCAAAGTGGCTACACAATGTTTGACCGAACAAAAGTCCCTTGTTCGACTGTCAGAATCACATGTTCCGTCACATCTGCCTGCTTCAGGAGTCGTGGATACAACATACGCCGATGGTGTTCACCTCCGGTAAGATATGTACTGTAGAAGACGGTACAGATCGCATAGATATTCCATAAAAATCGGGTTAGACCTTAGCTACACTCTTAAAAAGCATGCTCAATGTTATTCAGATTCAGACCTAGTCAAAATGACACTTTGGCCTCGAGAACCTGGATACCAAGTCAATGGTCAAGTGGGTACTTGTCATCCGACCTTTTGTTTGAAATGAAAGGTTTGGTAAGAGGAGTGAGTAGTTGATAGTGGAGGTTTTCCCATAATACTTTGGATAGACCTAATGGTAACATTGAATTTCACCTACCCATTCCGCCAAAAAGGTGTTTTCATTCGGGGCGGATTACAGTTTGGACCGCGCCTTGGTATCATCAGCGCCCCAACGACACTCGAATTTGGGAGGTGCAGAGTATGATTTCGCCATGTTCCTACTAAGCCTTGACAACACTTGCTGTAAAAATGTGCTCCCTGGCTGGCCTTGTGACAAGGTGGTGTGGTGAAAACACCTTGACAACAAACGATGCATTATACAAGAAATGGGTTTCGAAGAATTCCTTAACAGATTGAGGTAAGAGTACCTTTGCTTTCGTTTTAAGAGGCGAGGGGAAGGGATTCGTAAGTTGGTTCCATCGGAAGCAGGGGGGGGACTGCCTTGGAGCTGTGTTTGCAGATTTGTGTGAATAGATCCTCGGCGCACCAACCTGCGACCCCGATGAATCCTTGCTGAGCTTTCGTCCGTCATTTGATGGACTTCGTCAGCACAGGACACCATGGTTAACGTTACTTTACCAAAAATACGAAGGCAAGAAAAGTGGCCGGCCTCAAACCACAGCTCCAAGGCAACCACCTCACTGCTTCCGGTGGAACCAAGTTACTAATCCCTTCCACTCGCCTCTTCAAACGACATGAATGGCACTCCAACATCAAACGATGCACTGTCAGGGCTTGATTTCCGTTGGGAGTGCTGATGAGACCCATATCAAGTAGGGAAAATTCAACTATCCTTCCTTCATCATCTGGTGTGACTTTGCTTGACTAAGATTCTTATTAAAGATTTAGTCACTGTCTTGAAGCCTAATTACTATGGAGATACGAGTGTGCCCCGGATCTTTAATTGGTCTCTCCTAGAACTGGTGTTTTTGGTGAACTCTTGCAACAATGGTTTCTCGCTTTGACGATGCTTTTGAGGCAAAGAAAACGAAAGCTAAGCACGGATTTATCGGTGTCAAAGGATGTTGCGCTGAGGAGTGTTCTATTGCAATTGGCAATGACGTCTTCAAGGCCAACTTTTCCACGTACATTTTTTAAGGGAGTGGTAAGTACAGTGAGATGAGGCTATTAAGAGGGCCTTAGATACCCAGTCTTTCAACAAATTAATAAACTTGACAATAATCAAGAAATAGAACAATTTAGTTCTTCCTCTTAACGTTCTTAACATAGTTGGTCCACAAAGACATAGATAAAATATTAAGTATGACATAGTTTAAAAGTTATCAGTACGTCTTGCCATCCAGCTACACAACTACGGATCCTGGTGCGTCGCGGGGCAAATGTGACCTACAAGGCAAGCCAGGCCTCTCTCAAATCACATTTATTGTGGGACTATAGATGAGGCAATTGTTGCAATCTTTCTCTTTCGTTTAAAAGTAGATTTTCGAGACTACAAACATATGTGATAAAAGAGCTGTTTTCACCCTATTTCATCTAAGCTGATGAAGGAATGATAGTTGAATTTTATAACAATCAGATGCTTAGGAGTTGCATTCTCATTGCATTTCACATAGCTTCGCTTCTCAACAGGAATTCTCATCCAGGCTGGAGTAGACTACGGTTTCGATCTCGCATGGACTGGCCTCATCAGCTCCCTCAGTGGGACTCGAACCAGGTTTGTGGTAGTACACCGTATAATCTCGATAA